GGTAAGGAAGGAGCAACAAACGCACCAAACTCTGTGTCATGTGCTGCGAGGGATGTTCGGTATCAGTTCGATCAGAACTTCCTTAAAGGGGGGACTTTCCTGAAGCCTCACACCTTCCAAAGTTATTTGTATTCTTTCTTGGTGGGAGGAGAAGAGAGCCTGAATGAAACTGCAATTTGAAAGGGATTTTGAAAGCTTTTAAGGTCCGCTTTCTGACTCCAGGCAATACGAAAAGAATGCAAGTAAATTTTTAGCATCTTGGAAGAAGGGTTAGTGTTTTGAAATCTTATGAGGTGTTTGCGTGTTTTAATAGTGAAATAAGCCTTAATATCTGGTTTCAGAAGAGGTTGCAATGGATAAGAGTGTTTTTCTTCTAATTTTTAAGTGGAGGCGGAAGCTCGAGAGAGGGGGAGAGAACTGAGAAGGTGCCGTGTAAGTAGGTCTTGTTATGTGCCAGAAGGGAGCATGTACCATCGCACAGCCTGCCCTCTCAATTCACTAGGCAGCCATGGCCAGCGGTGTGCTTTGCCCTGAACTTCTCTCTGCCTCACACGAAATCTCAGTTCACGTTACATCTGTGTAATGCCCTCCATCATAAAAAGCTCAAAGTGCTTTGGAGATACTTGCAGGGGGAGTAATACACACTTTTACTAATAGGGAAACTGAGTCACAGATATTACATGATTAAACTAAGGTTACAAAAAAAGTTGTGATGATCAGGATACTGCTTGGTCCTCTGTTTCTAACACACCTTTGAAGTTAGGCATGCATCCCTCCATACTGAACACAACTGTGTGTTTAAACAACAGTTTAAACTCCTGTGCCTGAAACAACAGTGCCACCAGTTAAATAGCAAGCTCAGTAATCTCTCAGCAGCACACTATAGCCCACTGCTGCATTGAAATCTCATGATAAGATGCCTTGGAATATCAGAAACCACAGTATAACAAAAATCAGATAAACACATCAAGCAAGCGGAACAAAGCCCGTTATGTGATGCACATTGCCATTGATGGTTTTTGTAATTGTTGCCTATATTAACACACTACTGGAAATGAGGGTTTGCTGTATATAAGAAGAGGCTAGAAAGGGAGGGAGCTCCCCTTTGTCAAATATTTGTCTTACAGGTCCTAGGTTAGAGGCCAGTTATGGTTCATGCCTGGTTCAAATTCCCAGAAGGACTACTGATAGCTCAGCCCTGGCACAAGGAAGCATCTTGTGCCTCTTACAGCATTTGTGTAGGCACGGATACAGCAGTGTCTCTCTCCAGTTTTAACAAAGCCCCATTGAAATACATAACATGAATTCTTCTGTGGTTTTACCAGTAGTTGTGCTTCAAGAACGGTTGGAAAGTCTTTCAAAAGGCCAGGGAAATCCAGCCCTGGAAAATGTGATAAGAGCACAATGTGCATATTATCGAGTCGCTCAACCTTGCAAGTTCAAAGACAGTGTAAATAAGAGAATCTCTTCTTTCGTGGAGAATAGGAGAGAAGAGCATTGAACTCTTAGAGAAGCTGCCCTTACACAGAGGGATTTAAATTCGGCATAAGTATCTGTGTTCTTCCTTAAGAGTCCAAGGAAAGGCCATGTGACTTGCAAAAATAATAGGTATAGTAGCCACTGAGTCAGGCCAGTTCCAGTTCAAGCAATATCGTACACCTGAGACACTCACTTTTGGGGTCTCTTCAGGGCTGGATTGTGGCTGCTGCGCTATGAATAGGGAAATTGGAAAGAAGGTGCGGAAAGCGATCCTCTTTCTGACAAGGGAACTGACAGCTGTGCTGCTGATGCTATCCCAACCACTGAAAATAAGGCGGGCAGAGGAAGAGCAGCCCAAGCTTCATTTCTACTGCTCTGCCACTGGTCTCTCTTATTCAGCCTGTCATTTGGTACTATGTCTCTTAATGAAGCCTGTAGCACCCAGCAAATCCAGGTCATTTGAAGCCCTTCCAAGAACTGATCGGTGGGGTGGACAGTCCCTTCGTTGGCAGCTCAACCGAGGCTCTTAAGTCAGTGCTGGACATAAGCTGTGGAAAGCCGTGTGTTTCTCTTGTTTAGAACGTTGGCAAGTGGGACGGTGACTTAATAAGAACAGTGTTGAGTGAAGAGATACACTGCAGTGTAAAATATTTCAGGAACTGATAGATAAATGGCATGCCTTGCTTTGTCTGCCAATCTGTTTGCAGTGTGTGCGAGTGAGTGTGAATTAGTTTAACTGCGTACCTGTCCTGCCCTGCCAACAGGCACAGAAGTGGTAGGTATTAAACAGTGAACAAATCCTTTGTTGTTGTAACATTCTATAACTTGCAGGTGAAATGTTTTCAACCCAGTGTGTCTCTGGTCCGCACCGGTGCATTTCAGCAAACCCCTTCATGCCGTTCCAGTTTTCTCCTTCACTCAGGAGAATCAGGGGAAAGGAGCGTAACAAGATCACCAGAAAATGCACACCTGCCTGCCTGATAAACTGCAGCCAAAATAAGACAAAGTCCAAGGCCCAGTCTCCTGGAATGGAGACCTGTCCTGTAGCAGACAGGCTGAGCACGGCATGCCTGAGATACTGCCAGTGGGAGGCAGGGAAGGCTGCTCTGGCCAATAACTTATTTTCTTTCATTTTTTGTTTTGCTTCTTTCTTGGCAGTGTTGCTGGAACGTACTTTGCATAACTGAAACTCCAGCTGTTACAATTAAATTCTTTGGATTCTGTGACACCCTCCCCCCACAAAGATAGCATCTTGAGTTCACATCAAGTGCTCTGGTATACTGAAATCACGTCGGTGCCCGTAAATGTAATGCTTGCATTTGATACTCCTCATTGTTTTCTGTTCATTCAGCCATTCGTCGAGGCTGTTGCCACACAAGAGCTGGAACTGCTGTAGCAACAGCTGTGTCCTCTATGTTCTCCGTCTGATCACTTTGAATCTGAATTTAGGTCTAAATACCATGTGTAATGCACACTATAAAACTGTTTAGGAAAGTTTGTCCTCTTGTAACGTGTACGACAGAACATGAAGCATGCATTTGTCAGGAAAAACATTTTAGCTGGGAAGTTCCTCTGGTGTGGTGGTAACTGCAGTTGTTGGTGCATAGATTGATTTCTCAGTGTATTGATTTTTCAGAGTGACACAATATTCTTTGTCCTCACTACAGAAACTGGCAACCTTGCTTGTAGCTCTCACGGACTGATATAGTGTCTGCTGCAGCAAACTGTCTAAACCCAGCAGTCTCCTGGCATATTGTAGTTTGTATGGAAATCAGCCAAACCATCTCCTCCAGGAGAGCTGGAAGAGAATTGTGTCATAACATGTTTCCCAGACATAGTTAAACAACCTATGTATGTGGGAATTCAGTAAATCTCTAAATAACTCTTTGAATTCTCAAGAGTTAACTGTAAGCCGGGTTGACACCTGCAGTGCTGAATAACAACAGCTGATGATAGCCCTGTCTTCTGGAAGCAAGATCATGTTCTGGGCTTTCCAGAGCAGCAGGTTGAGGATGGAACCATTGCTCGATGCAGATGCTGGAATTATTACTACTGATACAGAAATATTCAGTGAACGTCTATGTTTTGTATTTGAAAGACACAAGATGGTGTGTTTGTATCACATGAGGACGAAGAAGTAGTTTCCGATCCATTAGTAACTATGTCAAATGTTAAACAAATTCTGCTAAACATCTTAAATTCACCAAGCTGGCAAGACCATACCCAGCAAGAATGTGAGAGCTCTAATGTTAATTCTTCTATTAAAAGTGGTCAAGTGTGATTGCTCTGGTTACTTTACGCTGGTGAGTCTGACAGCAGTGACAAACAAAATAAGAGCTGTTATACGGTATTCTGTTATTACTTAAAAGGTAGGAATATACTTCATGCCAGGTAACCTGAGTTGTGGAAACAACAAAAGAATTGTCACATCTTCTTGGTGCAAATGTGCTTGGCCAATAAAGAGAATGGGGCAAATATTACCTTATTTAGATCATGGATCTGAGATGGTGTCAGGATCTGATAGGCTGAATGGATTAAGAAACTATCTGACTGAAGTAACTATTACTAAGACTCTGCCATTTAATGAAACTGTCATTTTTCTGTTGGCTTCCTGTGAAGATCTGTGCCTGGCACAGGTTAACATTTTCATTTATTATGTCCACTCAGTGACTGGAGTTAATAACTAATTACAATGTTTCAGCACTAATCTTAGACTGTAAATTCCAGTTTTTTGAAGGTAGAAATACTGCTGATGAGGCAAGCCAAGGTGCTAAATTTAAATACAAATAAGTTTCATGAAGTTTATTCATCATTACTGCACAGAAGAGGACAAAGAGCTTTTGAGACTATCAAAGAGGGCATCTTTGGAATGTGGACTAGAAATTGGGGAGCGACTTCTGCAAATGCGGATACGAAGGGATTATTTAAAGGGAAACTTAAGGAGAATAGCCTATATTGAGTTTTTCATAAGTGCACATTGTTCAGTCTCTGATTCAGAATATACTATAATGGCATGAAAAACATAAAAGCGCTGTTATAAAATCGTAACAGCACACTTAGAGGCAAGTAACAGATGATGTATTTTTTATAGTTTTATTAATACCAAACTATGCACATATGTGGCTATTTCACAGTCTTTTAGGAGAATTGAATATAATTTTTTTGTTGATCTTAATCTAGTTTTAAGAATCTTTGTTTCAATAATTTCTTGCAGATGTAATATAGATAATTTCACCAAGTATCGATAAGTTCACTAATAAAAACAAACTTACTGTAGTTTACTTAAGGAGATTTCTGAAACTTCAGTTTGTAACATAAAATTTAGTGTGTTTCAAGGTTTAAGTGTGCAATCTAATCTTCAGGGGAATAGTTTATACGCTAAAACAATATATAAAGAGAGAAACAAAACTTAGCCTCATTTTTAGTCAACACTACAGTTCAGAATCTCAGTTAACAGCAGCATGCATTTGTAGTGTACAAGATTTCAGCTGAGACCATCTGTTTAATTTATTGTGTTTCAGGGACAGTTCTGTGATTATTGCAATGCTGCTGATCCCAGCAAAGCTCACCCGGTCACCAATGCAATTGATGGCACAGAACGCTGGTGGCAAAGTCCTCCTCTTTCTATGGGCTTGAAGTACAACGAAGTCAATGTCACTTTAGATCTGGGGCAGGTGAGTGCATGAGCTATTGGGTGAGATTTGATGATTTCTTGCGTTTATATACAAGCTTTGCAGTTGGAGAGATGTTTGAACTGATGTTTTTAGCTTTCAATGCCACAGCTTTTTTGCCTGGTTTATGTTCTGTATTTTTTGACCATGTTAAGTTTATTAAATTGATTATTTTCCTTCAGAAGTTCTGATGATGTGGGTTCTTGTCACTGGAATCACAGCAGTTTAATGACTGTGTGATGCCTTGCACAGACAGTGTAACTTGTTAACCTGAGGTTACAGGGGGGCCTGCTTGGTTGAAAGTGGATCTCTACCTTCCATTTCATGTTCTTCTGTTGCACGGGCACAGATTGAGAGAGGTTCTGTGATCTCTTACCATGCACACATTCTGAGAATGTTTGGAGTCTGCTTTTGCCTCATGGCTCCTTCTGGTTTCTCTGTCGTCCAACATGATCGACAGAAAATACTGGTAACATAGTCTAAAAAAGAAGGGACAGCAAAGCCAGTGTAATATGAATTAGCAATATGACAGTAACGTGAACACCCGTATTTCCTCTGCAGGTGACAGACAAGTAGCTAACAGTGAAGCCTCAGCATCTGTATTTTAAGTCATAGGGACAGATTCTCAGCTGCCATAATTGGGCGCTGATCCAGAGAAATTAGCTATGCTCTGCAAGTGCATGCCAGCTGAAAATACATGACTATAAATATATTTGGGGGACTGCAAAACATATGTTTACATATCCATATATATTTTGCATAGTAGTAAATGTTTATTAATTGATTATACAGGACAGGATTCTTTGAGTAGGTGTTCGATTTAATTGACATCAGGGGGAGGAATAATGAAGGAAAAATTCTTTTTTGTGATACTTAATTACTATTTCTTGGGGATTTAGGTGCAAATTATATTATGTCTTCTATTACATGTGATTTTAATGCTCCTGTCCCTCATCTGCCTGGAATGGCTCTTGTTTTGGGGATATCTTCGTTCAGTGTTTTTGGATAAAGTACAACAGCAGTGCAGAAGGGCCTGACAACTTGAGACAGAGAATATCAGTAGTTAAACTAAACTGCTGTGATTTCTGAAATTGCATTTCTGTTAATTAAATTAGTAACATGTCTGTTTCCTTCGTTGCTTTACTCCACTGTGCCATGAAAGAAGGAAGAGCTTTACAGAAGCTGAAGAGTTTTTAAGCCACAGCATCCACACAGCGGTTGGACCTGTCTCAGAGTTGTGCTGCTCTTTCTGTTACGCTGTACAGTTGAGGAGCATTGCGTACCCTGATGCTTTGTGCTCCTGTGAAGTGAGTTTTCCAGTTATTCTTTGGCAGCAAACTGTAGGGAACTGTGTCCTTGGGCTGGGTGTACAGCATAGGGACACTGAATGCAGAGCAGGGTGCTATTAACAGGCAGGGGAAGGCAATCGCCTCCCGGCAAAGCAGACCTTGCCTTCTGAGCCACTCGCATCCGTCGTGGTCTCTGCAGGATGCAGGATTATATTGCAGGCTGTAATTTGTCTGATGGTGTCCTCCAACATATTTGTCACCAACACTTGTGCGTCATTATCATCCACTTACGCAGCACATTGCTCCATCCAGAACTTCAATTGTTAGTTTCTTTGGTGGACCTACTGACAGACACCTTATCTTTTATATGTTGAATAAACTTCTGAGAAACCTTCTTCCTTCAGGGGCAGGATATGAATGGAGTGCCGCCTTCTCATGAGACTCCTTGATGATCAACTGCCATGTGCCAGAATTCTTGTAGTTATTAAAGGATTTCTCAGCAGGAGGCTGTGTGTTTCTCTTTACTCTGGTACCACTGGGGAAGGCGACTCTGAACTCCCTTACTTGGAAACGAGGGAAACTCAAGCCAAAGGTCAAAATGACTTCAGGTCTTGTGATCAGGAAAGGAACATTTTAGTTGATGGATCGATGAGGGTTTTGTAGGATTTTTTTTTTTTCCACAGACATTATCTCATTTCTGCGTTCAGTCAGTTAAACCTTAATCTTGGGATTTATCTGAACTTGAGATTCATGTTTTGACATCAAAGGTCAAAATGACTTCAGGTCTTGTGATCAGGAAAGGAACATTTTAGTTGATGGATCGATGAGGGTTTTGTAGGATTTTTTTTTTTTCCACAGACATTATCTCATTTCTGCGTTCAGTCAGTTAAACTTAATCTTGGGATTTGTCTGAACTTGAGATTCATTTTTTGACATTCTGCCTAGTATTCTCATGCCCTAAATTCATACAGTAGTGCACAATTACTACGAATGACGAGGAAAATCAAATACTGTGTCAGTCTACTCAAGTGAACAGGTAAACACTGAGACCCCAAGTCACTTCACCTTGTTTCAGGGTCCTAAAATTGAATTTAATGTGTGTTAGTCATGCAAGCTTTCTCAGTAGTCGACAGAGAAAGAAGCTTTTAGAGTGCAGTTCCCCTTCAAGTGAGCTGAAATTAAGGTTTTGTTTTTTAAGGAGGAATAAATTTTCTTAAAATTAGACATGAGGCTTAATACCTTGCAGAACCACAGACTGTAATATTGAAAAGACAGCAGGGATGTAGTTTTGCTCACTGATTAGTTGTTCTGATCTTTGTTTTGACACAAGACACCTTTTTCTGCAAACAAAATAGGGAAATGTTTTTGCATTTGCAAAACATGACATAGTATAAGGTACATATGCGTGCAGGGAAGCAATGACCAAGTTTTCAGTTGGCCATCAAATATTCACAATTAGAGGAAGCAAAACTTAATGAAATGTCAGATAATTCTTTGCATCCCTGCCATTATATCTTTAAGACTGAGAACAGTGTCCCAGTGGAGCCTTTTGTCATGGTCTGATGACAATAGTTAGTTGAATAGTTGCACCAAGATGGAAGTTTGAGCACTCATTACTCTGGGGATGGAACAGAACACCCACCCGCTGCTGCTTCTGTTTCACAAGGGCTGAAGGGGGTGATTTTGAAAGTCAAAATCATAGAATCAGAGAATCATAGAATGGCCTAGGCTGGAAGGGACCTTAGAGATCATCTAGTCCAACCTCCCTGTTTTGGGCAGGGACGCCACCTCTCGACTAGACCTGGCAACACATGGGGACCGAGCGGGAAATGAACCCGCGACCTTGGTGTTGGTCCTTGTTGCCAGCACCGCGCTCAAACCACTGAGCTAAATCTCTCTGCTAGAAAAATGCTCATTTTGCTGTGCTTTGTAATATGAGAAAGAGCAAAAGCCCTACTTTACTTCTCTTCTTGACTTTCTGTACTGTACAGTTAGATTTCTAATCAATCACAGTCCTTCCGAATAATAATTATAATGTTGATGCCTGAGGCAGTCTCTCTATCCTGTTAACATACCTGCTTGTACTGTGGCTGTTCCTGACTTGTTTAAAATATTTGGATCAAATAAAGCCTCATTTAGTCCTTTTAATTGGTCCTAATTTTCCCCAATGTAGTTTGCAGCATTTTCTGAGTCCAGAATGCGTGACTGAAGTTCGTTGCCCTTCTCCTGACTCTTTGGATTGCCTAATTTTAGCAGGTGTGCCCTCATCTTTGGCTTGCTTAATGCTCAGCAGATATTACAGTAATACTCCTCCAGGTATTTTTCTGAACTCTAGCTTCAGAAGAAGATGAAGGTTCAGGATAGCATGATAGTGTATGATGAAAAAGAGCTGTCTAATTGTTAACACTTCAGAAAGTGTAGTCCACAAATTTTATTGTTGCTTTTAGTTTCATGTAATTTTTTTACTGTGCTTTTGTGGCAATAATATAATACTGAAAGACTCAGGCTTAATGAAGTCTTGTGCACTAATATGTTGAATACTTTTTATGTAGCGATATTATCAGTCACTGTTGTAAATTAGCATCACACAGTGGAATGTAATGTCCAAATTAGTACTTTTATTAAGGAGGGAGGGAAACTCAACTATAAAAGTAAGTGCTATGGCCTTTGGAGGACTTTATGCTTTTATGTTTTCTGCCAGTTAAAGCTTATAAACACTTTGTAAAAAAGCCTTGCAGTCTGGCAAATCTGTTGAGCTGTTTCTAAATGATAGGTATCTCTTATGTGTTTAATTTTCATATGTGATATCAGTCCTTTATGTCTGTAACTTTACAAACAATATTTGTTTTTGGGAATATTCGTCAGCTTTGGCAAATTGTTATTATAAACAGTTATTCTTAACTTACAGAAGATTGACATAATTTCTTAAAAATATGTTTGAAGTTACAGATATTTGACTGTCATTCTGTAAATTATAAAGTGTCCTGTAGACCCTATTGCTCTAGGGAGAAACTGCCAAGGTGATGGGAGATTTGTCATAAGCCACGTTGAACTGACCTTCCAAAAATAGTCATTGCATTCATTGTGCCTGACTATTGAAGACTTTGTGTTACCGCTGACCCTGAAATTAGATCCAGCTCTGTTGTGGAATTGCATAACCTCTGTAATAGCACTGAGAAGTCTTACAAATTAGGGCATGAGAACCCCTGTACAAAGCTTCTGCAGCCCTACAGAGCTGCCCCAGCGTTGAGACAAAGCCTTTCCTCTGGAGCGCCTGCACAGCTCTGCCTCCACAGCAGCACTGACCCCTGCTCTGCTCTTTTGGTTCATGCTGGGGAGAAAAGGGGCTTTTAGGTCTGGGGAAGGTACAATGTTGTTCCTGCAGTACTCAAAAAAAGGGGATGTTGACAGCGCAGAGAATCTTGCCTTACTTTATATTAAAGAACTCTGGTTCTGAGTATTTCAGTTTGTGCAGGCAGCTGATTTGGGCTCGTGCCGTGAAACACCATGCTTTGAAGTCAGTTGATTTTGGCTCATACTGCAGTAAGGTGAATCTACTTGTGAACTGTGGATTAACACAACTTCAGCTGATCAAATAGCGGCTGTCTGACAGAAGTTTCCAAAAGCTGTATCAGGTAATGCACGCTCCATTTGTTGCTCAGTCGCACCACAGGCAGCTCATTCTGAACTGAGCTGCCAGCCTTAGTTAGGAGAATGCCCTAAATACACCCTTTCTTGCTCATATGCTATCCTTTAAGATGTCGTCAATGTGTTGTGTTTTCCTAAAGTTTCAGTTAAAGACCTTTTGAGTGTCTCAACATTTTTTTCTTATGTTTGTAGTAATAGATCTATGTCATTGGCTTAAAAATATGGTTTTGGTATTAAATTGGCATTATTCTCAAAAATACAGACAAAGTCTTGCAAGTCTTGCTCTCCTTCATTTTACTGACACTGTCTTTCTCTGATTCTTCTTCAGCATCCCTTTTGGAAGGTCTTTGTTCCTACTCCTTGATCTCCCTTCCCTCTATATTGATACGTCTGCTTCTCCCACCTCCCTTACCATGCTTATTCCTTCACTTTACTTCCATTTTGTATTTACTTTCAGTGAGCAGAACCTCTGCTGAAGGCTTCCAACCCTCCTCATTTACCCATCTTTCCTTCCAGCGCTGACAGTATTACTGTGTTCTTTTTACTGTGGACTGCAGCTCTCATAAGGGGACATTTATCTTGTGGACAATTGAGGTCTGAATCATACAAATCCCTTCCCATATGAATTGCTTTAGTGTTCTGCGAAGAAATAGGCCATATGTAAAAAATAATTATGAGCATTGAGTTAATCTTTGTCCAAATTCCAATGGAAAAGCAACTGCAGGAGATATTTCAGGGTAGTAACTGGCAGTCATTGATGTGTTTGCCTGCAGCCTTGGCAAAAAGACTGAGGACTGATTGAACCTGGACAATGTTTATCCTTTCATTTCTGGAAGTCTTCCTTCTTACCAGAATACTGCCTGTGAATTGTGGAGAGCTTCTACCTTCTGCTCCTGCCCATCGACTGTGATGGAGGAAAGACTTAACATCTCCAGGTGTGCCAGTGAGGAATATTCACAGTCACTGACTTACATCAGTAAATAAAAGCATCAGTGGCTAGTTAAATGACACAAGTGACTAGTTAAGTGACACAAATACAACATGTGCAATGCTAACAGAATGTTGTTGGAAGTCCTGTACTTATTCTTGGTTTCCGCACCCCAGGCTGTGAAGCTGTCATGCAAGTAATGACTTCTGCATGCTCTGCAGTGGGAGCTTCTCCAGTTGCTGTTGCTGTTTACACACTGTTGGCATTGCTGTATCGCTCTGCGCCATGTGTATGTGGTTCAACTGTATAGAACACATTCAGTGGATCTAATGCCTCTCAGATAGTCCCCACTTTGACTTTTCTTTACACCTCTGCCATGGCTGCTTTTCACCAGACACCCAGAAGAGTGTCTGGCAACTGCCAAAAAGGCTGGTTCAGCTCTCTCTACTTGGCATTCTTTTATATTATAGTTTCATCTGCAAAGTACTTTGTTGGGGGTTACCAAATGCTGACTGTCAGGAGTGTTTTATGAAGTCTTTGGATCTGCACTGGTGCCTCAAATCCTATTGAGAGGTTACTGAGGAAAGGGCATGTTGACCTCTTTGCAACCATTATAAATCAAAGCCTTTCATTTTTAACCAGAGTACAGGGGATTTTTATTTTGTTTAAATAGATTGTTATTTTTATAGCTCAATCTTTGAGAAAAATCAATGCTCAAGACCTTAAGGCTTCATTACTCTAAGAAACTGATGGACTTGTGCATGTGAAATCAGTGGCTTCTGGAGGTAGTGCTAAGCACAATTCACACTTCCTTGAATTCCACTCCTGCCCTGGTCAATGGCTGAGAAGTTTAGTTTAGGTACTGAATGGTCTTGTGTCAGCAAGATTACTCTTCTGTCTTTAATTAGGATTTATTTGCTATGACAAGGATTATTTTTCTTCTGTTGTTGCCTCATCAGATCTGAAGAGAGACCATTCATCTACTTGGTCAGTATTCAACCATAGTGGAAATTTGGATTTTCAGGTGATATTCTGCATCCTCGGTTCAGGTCAGAACCAAATCATTGGCAGCCATGTGAAGTTAGAAGCAGGAGAGATGATAGGGTTGGTGACTTAAGTTTTGACAATATATTGTTGTTAACTAGCAGTGTTATTTTTTATCAAGACCTATCTTTTTCCCCTTTCCAAATGTGACTGTACAAACCCAAGCAGTACTTCAGACTATAAGAGGTAAGGAGAGCTGCCTGTGAATTGAAGATTTTCATATGCAAGAGTAGTTTGAAGCTGCCATGCGTTATTTCTTCCCTTCTGTGGTTTGCACAGAAGCATGCCAAGCGTGGTGCTTGGAGACAGTTCTTTAAGCACTGGCAGACTTTCAAAGTTCCTGACGTAATACACAGATTGGGCAGTTACTTACTTCACAAGCATTGAGTAGTCATAGGCTTAAGCAAATTCCAGAGCTGCAAGCAGATGTGGCATACAGGTGTTTGGCAGGTGCCACATGCTGATTCTGCAGTGTTACTGTCGTGTGCCTTCATCTTTGGTCACATATTTCTTTAGATGCTTGTGAAAGGTTATAGTCCAGGGTGACACTGGTATGTGAGTGAGCTTGTCTCATATTTCTTGAGCAGTGTGGAAGCACTGTAGAAATGGAATTCACTGCTACTATTTTGCTCACGCTTATGAGAAGGTATCACCTGTTAGGAGAGACGAGACGAGACTGGCTGTGTTAGCACTTTGAGTAGCTTCTAAGTAAAAGAATATAATCACTGTGAGACAAGGTGAAGTGGATGTCATCAAAAAGGGAAAAAAGGAAGACCCAGGCAAATATGGCCCAGTCAGTCTCACGTCTGTGTCTGGCAAGATCAAGGAGCAGATCCTTCTGAAGGCACATGGAAAATGTGGAGGTGATTGGTGGCAACCAACATGGCTTCACCAAGGGGAGATCCTGCTTGACAAATCTGATGGCCTTTTTATGATGGAGTAACAGAATCAATTGACAAGGGAAGAGCAACTGATGGCATCTACCTGGACTTATGCAAGGCCTTCGACACTGTCCCACACAACATCTTGGTCTCCAAGTTGGAAAGACATGGATTTGATGGATGGACCACTCAGTGGATAAGGAACTGACTGGAAGATTGCACTCAAAGAGCTGTGGTCAATGGCTCAATGTCCCAGTGGAGACCAGTGACAAGTGGTGTCTCTCAGGGATCAGCACTGGGACCAATACTGTTTAACATCTTTGTCTGCAACATGGACAGTGGCATCGAGTGCACCCTCAGCAAGTTTGCCAATGACACCAAGCTGTTGTGGTGAGGTCAACACGCTGGAGGGCAGGGATGCCATCCAGAGGGACCTTGATGGGCTTGAGAGGTGAGCATAGGCCAGCCTCACGAAGGCCAAGTGAAAGGTCCTGCACCTGGGTTGAGGCAGTCCCAAGCACAGATACAGGCTGGGCACAGGGTGGCTTGAGAGCAGTCCTAGGAAGAAGAATTTGGGAGTGTTGGTGGATGATAAGATCAACATGAGCCAACAGTGTGTGCTTGCGGCCCAGAAACCCAACCATATCCTGGGATGCATCAAGAGATGTGTGACCAGCAGATCGAGGGAAATGATTCTTCCCTTCTACTCTGTCCCTGTGAGACCCCACGTGGACCAACACAAGAAAGACATGGAGCTGTTGGAGCGAGTCCAGAGGAGGGCTACTAAGATGGCCAGAGGGCTGGAGCACCTCTCCTACAAGGACAGGCTGAGAGAGTTAGGCTTGTTCAGCCTGGGAAAGAGAAGGAGAGCCCTTATAGTGGCCTTCCAGTACCTGAAGAGGATCTACAAGAAGGCTGGGGAGGGACTGAAGTGATAGGAGAGGGGATAATGGGTGGAAGCTGGAAGGGTGTACGTTTAGACTAGATACGAGGAAGCAATTCTTTACCCTGAGGGTGGTGAGGCACTGGCACAGGTTGCCCAGGGAAGCTGTGGATGCTCCCTCCCTGGAAGTTCAAGGCCAGGCTGGATGGAGCCTTGAGCAGCCTGATCTAGTGGGAGACATCCCTGCCATTGACAGCGTGGTTAGAACTAGATGAGGTCCTTTCCAACCCAAATCAGTCTATGATTTGGTGATTCAATGATTCTATGATCATTGTTGTAATGATTCCATAATGTGACTACAAGAAATGGGGCCCTGGGGAAGGCAGGGCCTTTTCTAGATGCTTCCTTTGTTTCCTTGTGGTTCCTTGCCCCAAAGTATTTACCTATTTCTGACAATCTGGGAGGGAACAGGTGGCTTAGATTCTTATCAAACACAGCCAAAGAAGACTCAGTGTAAATGGTGCTTGCATTTTCTCTTACATCATTGTGATCTTGTTTGACTACAATTGCATGGCTGGAGTGCAACACAGATGTACCAGGATGCTGCAAAAGTACCTTAGTTCAATGATGTGTCAAGATGCTAGTTTTTCAAGGCAAAGTACTATACCCTTAACACACCCAAGCAATCAGTCATGTGCAAAGCAGAGCTTGTGTGAAATGTAAGAGACGGCATTTAGCACAGTCCTGTCATAGCTTTGTTAATGTCTTGCAGCACGTTTCAGGTGAGGCAGCCAGCTGGGAACCTGGTCTATTGTTTCAATGAGAATGAAACTGCAGAGGATAACCTTCTCACTGTGCACTGAGGAAAAGGTGTTTATTTGCATTAGTTTTAGTGTTGTGGTACTTTTATAGAGTGCAAAAAACTCCTGATGAGATCTATGTATATTCTGTTACCAGCTCTTCCATGTTGCCTATATCCTTATCAAGTTTGCAAATTCTCCTCGTCCAGATCTCTGGATCTTAGAAAGATCAGTGGACTTTGGAAAAACTTACACTCCCTGGCAATATTTTGCTCGTAAGTATCAATCCTTTTGTCACTGCTCTGTCGTGGACAGGTTTTTTTAATCATTCACCCAGTAGCAGGAAAATTGGACCATGGGGCTCGCTAAAGATTTCAACTGCACTGAAGACAGAGAACATCCAATACATTTCTCTTGTCTTAGTTATCCACAATAAATTAGTGACAAGGGTGTAACTAAAAATTAGTATTTTGAAAGTGTAACTCAGCACACGAATGTTTTTGAGTCTGTTGAGAATCTTTGTATTGTTTTATTTGTCTTGGTTATTGAGTATGTCAGAACTACAATGTCCTTTATCTCATGAGACCCTAGAATTCCTTGCAAAAATCAAAGTAAAATAGAAATACAAAATCTTAGGGGATATATATATCTCTTTTTTTTTCGTGATGGTGTGAGAAATATTTTGCCATGTCTTGTCAAGCACCACTGAATTGCTTAGGATGAAAAATTATTTGATTTTAGGCATTTCCATTTTTCTGTCCTATGAGGCACAATCACTGTAATTATTCAGGTATGGGGGAAAATTTACCTGAAAGCAGAGGTTCTACTTTAAATTAGAACTTCCTGGCACCCCCAATATGACACACAAGATTTAGCAGTGATCTTGGTCACTGTAGGAGCAAGTATCAGCAAAGAGCTTTTCTACATACCAATCCCTGGTAGTAACTATAAACGTTGAGTGTTATCACTTCTGGTAGCAAACAGTCTTCAAAACATGCTGTTAACATCAGAAAGTGCAGCCTCTTAGAAGAGACTGAGCTGAAAAGTCAAATCACTGAACAGAATTGGTTCTGTTTAGCTCAAACCAGGACACGTATGTAGAACTAATTTTGTTCTCGTTTGACCAGACTCCAAAGCAGACTGCTTGGAGCGCTTCAGAAAGGAAGCGAATCTTCCAGTGAGGAGGGACAGCGATGTCCTTTGCACCACAGAGTACTCTCGCATTCTGCCTCTTGAAAATGGAGAGGTAAGTGCTTTTAGGAAAGTAATGGTGAACGCTGGAAGCAAACAGCATCAGTTGCAGAAGTCTGCTGTTTCAATAAAATCCTAGAATTGTATTTTCTCAGCTATGGTTGCTTGCATCTACGTTAGTCCATAACAAAGCACTTCAGTAGCTGATGAGATTTTTGGAGGGTGAGCTGGCTCCTCCTAACTTTAATCACCTCCTGTGGGCATAGAGGCTGCTCAGAACCACCTGTGTTGATTTTTGTCATGATTTAGGTACCTCACTTTAGCCATATGCATTTGAAGGAGTTGACTGCATTTTCTGAACACTTCCAGTGTTCATAGGAGAACTTAGTGCATCAGAATTACTCATGGGAGTAAAGGCTGTAGAAACTTGAGTAAGTAGCTATTTAAGAAAATAATATCTAAATGCTGTGTGTTTATAACATAATACATGTTTTTTGGAAAACGTTGCTCTGATTTTAGCCATTGTTCCTTGTTAGGCAGAGCTGTGGCTTGTGTTATTTGAATGAATGTTCAACTCCTGACTGTCCCAGTGGCTTCTGGTGGCATTCTGCTTTTATGCCTGATGTGGTTAGAATCCAGAGCTGAACTCCTCAGGAGTTATCCAGAGTTTTTGGCATGTGGATCTGGGGTTGTAGTTTCATATTTAAGTAGAACTGTTTTATTCATATATCTGTAAAATTTTCCTAATAAAATATTTTAAAGAATGATATCCGTAGAAGAACACTGCTGGTGCAGTCCTTATCATCTGCTGTATGACTTTTCCTAAAATAATTGTGCTGCAGTCAGAACTATCACCGTTCCCCTGTTGCAGGCTTTGGGGTATAGAAGCCATTCAAAAATAGAAAACTGTTATCTGGCTTGCTATAAATAAATTAAAGGCTTTTACTCAGTCCTGTACATGCACACTTAATAGAGATTCATGATTGCTAGGCTACTGGCCTCTGTTTCTTTAAAAAATAAAAAATTACTGGAAGCCTTGTTTTGAAAGTCAGATCAACCTGCTTTCATATGAAGGGATTTTCTAAAGCAACACTGTGTTCTTTCTTCCAAAAGATCATTAATACGCTCCCAGGCACTGGACCTGGTAACAATAACATTTTCCAGGAATATTTGTGCCTTATCCTAAAAATAAATGTGTTTTGGAAAGGAGCCAAAACCTGATGTTTTTACTCAGGGAAAAGTCCCATTGACACTGTTGACTGTTAATATAACTATTTGCAGCTATTCCTATTGTTTTTTCCTAATAAAACATGTACTTTTTTGTGTGTGTTATACTCACTGTTTTCAAAATAGAGGCCCTTTTTTCTCCCAAATGCCATATGGCTAATGAGAATTCAGGAGGGTCCAAGACTAACACCATTATTTTTCCCTTTGGATTCTTTTATTAATTTTGCTCTGTCCTGCTACTAACACTTGCAGTTGATGTATTTTAACAAAGATGTGCTTACTTCTTTGTTAGATTGTAGTATCTTTGGTAAATGGCCGCCCAGGAGCAAAAAACTTCACTTATTCCCCCAGTCTTCGAGAATTCACGAAAGCAACAAATATCCGCCTTCATTTTCTCAGAACTAACACACTTCTTGGACACTTGATTTCAAAAGCTCAGCGAGATCCCACTGTAACTCGTAGAGTAAGTACTGTTTTCACTGAGATATACTCAACAATTGTTTTCAGCATGTTGGGGCTCAAGAAGTTATCTGACAATTGAAATATACATTGACCCATATTTAAATCTCCATATTTTCTCCAGGTTCATTTGAGACAAGAAGGTAAGTGGATCAGCACAGATTTATGGCGGGGAAGTAATGATTAATGATTTTGTAACAAACTGCTGCCTTTCCCTGTTTTCGAATATGGAAGGAAGTTGGGTGCATCATGGGAGCTATAATGAAGCGGAAATCCTCTAAACTATCTTATGCAGAACTGAGGAACTAAATCTCTTCAGCTATATTTGGCACAACTTTCCTTTATTTATTCAAAGAAAAAAATGCAGGAAACAGTACCCGAGTTTCTTAAGGAGCAGAAATCAAAGGGAATACTTAAAAGTAACTGTCTTTTCACAAATCGTTTGAGATGCCTAGATGTTTTCAGTGAATTTTGGGCTATCCAAGAGCTTTAAAGCCAAGATCCTACTTGGAGGCCATTGGGGAGTGGGGAGATTCAGTGGGGAGATGTAAGGAAATTCATCTCCCTCAAGGAAACACCACATAGAAATTCATATACTTAGAGAGATTGTGGACTTCATGTTGCATTGTTATTTTCAACCTTTTCATTTAGAATTAAGATTCAGTAACAATTGGAGGAAACCCTGGGGTGAGGCACTGAACAAATGTGTATGAGGGTTTCTGCATTGAAAAACGTAAAGCTATTTCACTTGCTTGATAGCACTCCCATTAAGTACCCTTGTTGTCTTAAGTAAATTTTAAGATGTTGCTCACAGGCAGATGTAAATGCAGTATTTAGTTTATTTGGCAAGCAGCACAGCTTTAGTGTAAAGTACTTCTGATGTTATGATAGCCAGGGGATGTAGGATAAATTAATTAAATGTCCTTCCAGGGAGGGGCCATCCACAACTTCTCTGGGCAACCTGTTCCAGTGCCTCACCACCCTCACAGTAAAGAACTTCTTCCCAGTATCTACTCTTTGTCTACCCTCTTCCAGTTTGAGATCGTTACCTCTTGTCCTATCACTACACTCCCTGATAAGGAGTCCCTCCCCAGCTTTCCTGTAGGCCCCCTTCAGGTACTGGAAGGTCTCCCTTGAGACTTCTCTCCTCCTGGCTGAACAGCCCTGGCACTCTCAGCCTGTCCTCATATGGGAGGTGCTCCAACCTCCCATGACCTGCTGGCCATGCTGCTTGTGGTGTAACCAAGGATCTGATTGGCTTTCTGGGCTGTGAGTGCACATTGCTGGCTCATATTCAGTTTTTCATCCACCAACACCCCAAGTTCTCCACAGGGCTGCTCTCAGTCCTCTCGTCACCAGCCTGCATTTGTGCTTGAGATTGCCCTGATCCAGGTGTATGACCTCCTGTCTAAGGAGACAAGGAAACAACTTCTGAGCTACAAAAATATATGCAGAAGTTACTATTGTTATGTGTACAGGAATGATATTTTCACTGAGTTGAACCAATTAGATTTTTATCTTCTGTTGGCTGGATGCTTGCAAGGCATGAGGATGAGATACAAAGTGGTTCAGCTTCAGGTCACAGTTTCAAATCCAGCTTTGGACGTGAGTGATTTTGACCAAGCCAGTGATTTCAATCTCTTTCTAGTGTTTAGTGATCATGACTGACTGAGTGGGGAGACTGCACTGCCCATTCCATCATGTCCTGTTTGTTGACCAGCCTCACAAGTTGATGCATTGACAGTACTTTACATCTCCATCTTGAGACTGACTTTGAACAAGCTTTGGGCTTGGGTACTGATGGCTGTGTAGCTGCTGAGGAATGGAAAGCTACAGTAATATGCATTTGCTGTGAGCTGCACAAGCCTGTTGCTATTAGGAACCCCATGTGGGTATTGACTTTGATTTGCTGGTAGTCATGTGGAGACATGGACATCAACAGAAGTTTGACTATTGGCTGCCTGACTTTGGCCTTTTGTCATACCTTTAATGTTCTGATAAGCAGGATGTAACATTTTGATGCTGATATTTCTGATATGATACAAATAAGGAAGACCTACATCTGCTTCTTGTGCTTATTCCGTAGTATTACTACAGTATAAAGGACATCAGTATTGGTGGTCGATGTGTTTGCCATGGCCATGCTGAAGTATGTAATGCAAAGAGTGCTGAAAACCAATATCAGTAAGTAAACTGAGCATAACATTAATATACTGTGAGAGATACAATACATGAATGTTTTTTTCAAATGACCTTTTTTATTATGGAATGATAGAGCCTTACAGGGATTTTTCATTATATTAAAAAACCTGGAATCTGGCAATGATTAAGAGGAAGACATGTCAAGAGCTATTGTATGTGAAATATAATAATAAAAAGTCTTCATTTGGATTGTCCTTTCCAGTTGAAATAAGAGTTTGACAGATTGAATAAGTTCTTAGAAACCCTTAGGTCTTTTTGGAAAACATGGCTCGATATTATCTTCAAACAACAGGAATTAGAAGCCCAACTTAAGAAAAAAGTTACTGTATTTCCTGGAGATACTGAGTGCTATAACTGAACTCAGCCAAGATCCAATGACTTCCAATTGTTACTAGAAAAAAATAAAAACAAACTGAATGAACTGTTCCCTTTCCCCGTGACGTTTATGATCTCCATAGTTATTTCAGAAGGCATTAGATCAGGCTCCACAGCTCATCTGCTCTAGGGAAGCAACTGTGAATAATCAAGCTGTTCAAAACATGCTTTAAAAACCTAGTTTAAACCAACTTGTTTTAATCCATGATGGCACTGAAACAAACATTTATCAGGTCAGTGCAACATTTTCGGTTGTGTTTTAATGGAGAGCAAGTGGGCAGATGGGTGTGTCTTTTCCAGATGTCTGTGCTAGAGAAAAGTAGAGAAGATGTGAAACCTAAGGGAACAGGATGATTATACTCAAAAATTTGATTGCCCTTTAATTATTAGACTCCACAAGTAAGAGAGGAATGTTGGCATATGTCTCTCTGGTGTCAAGGTCTTTGTTCCTCCTGGTGTCGAGTTACAATTCATGGTAGTAAGACCTAACCCATAAGAAGAGCCTGTGCTTTCAATAGACTATTCAGCTAAATCAAAATAAATATAAACAACATTTTCTGGATGAGTAGTGTGCGCTATTTTTAAAATAATAAGATGAAGTTATGATGTTGGTTTATTAAAAACACTAATCAAATTATTGTAAACAAAGCATAATGAAAAAATCATGAAGGTATTCATATAAAGGTGATAAATATTTTGCTTTACTGTAGGTCAACAAACTTAAGCCTTGGAATGAAGCTAAAATAGATTACCTCCTGTTATATATCATCTTTATTTAATATTCTTGAATAAAATTTCATAATCCAGTCTATTGAATCCAATTATAAATGTTCTCTATTAATAATCTGTGATAATAAACTCACATGGTTAAAGTAATCAACCATGAAAAATTTTAGGAAAGTTCCAAAATGTTCTAGTATTACTGTCAGAGCTCTTCACATGTGAGCTTATGTCCTGCCCTTTTCACACTATGTGTAAATGTTGGGCTGCAATAAAATTAAGACAAAAACTTTAAATCCAGCTTCAGTATAATAGGAGACTTTTATTTCCGCAGTTTTCAATGTGAATGTCAGCATAACACTTGTGGGGAAACCTGTGATCGCTGCTGCCCTGGATATAATCAGAAACAGTGGCAACCTGCAACAGCCAGGAGCACAAACGTGTGCGAACGTGAGTAGCCGGAAAGATGCTATATTAAAAGGGACATTGACAAGTAGGTTGGAATTAGCCAAAACACACATGTTCATGGAGTATAACTAGCCCTCTGCATGTTTTAACACCTTATTTCTTTACTGAGAAAATTCTTCACATGGAGTGTTAAGGAATGGATGATGCAGTGAATATTGTTTATGCTCTCTCTCGTTAAATGAAGATAATAGTGATTCATGTGAGAATATTACGTGAGAGAAGTGGAAACCTTCTTTTAGTATGCTGAGTCAGCATCTCTCTCCAGTCAGAGCTGTCTGCTGACAGATGTTGGATCCCCACTAGCACAGCAGAGACTATGGGCACCTTGCAGGACTTCAGAATTTCCCAGCCTCTTGATGTTCAGATTGCAGAGAGATTGCTCAAGGCTGCTGCTGCTGCTTACAGGTGCTTGAGGTGCCCTCTGTTCTGCTGATGGTCGCCCATCACTGACTTTACCTAAGTGGGCACAAAGCCATTCCTGGTGGCAATTCCTGGCAATGCCATGCATGCACTTCTTCCTGTTCTTGAGAGTTCGGAGTGCTTTAGCTGCGTAGACAGAGTAGTCAAGCTGGAGAAGCCCGTTGACCTTTCTCTCACCTCCCTTGTGTTCCATTATTTTGTTAAAAGAAACAACCACAGGGACCCTGTTTTGGTGGAGGAGTATGAACTGTCACACATGAGTATTTTCCATCCTTCTGGCCAGTAACCAATGAGTGTGGTACAGATGGCATTCCCATCTCTGTGCACATCCTATTCTGAGTAAAAGTGTTGGCAGCCTGCAGTCTCCTTTGTGTCTGGCCTAATTTATTTTCATCATCCAACTTTCCTGAGAGTAGTGTAGCCAGCGGGTACAAACCGTTAACAGGGGAACCTTATCTGAAAGCCAGAGATGTGCCTATATAGTTAGTCTGTGGAATAAAGAGATGGCTTGTTTAATCAAAACTGCAGTACTGAGTGTTCGAAGGCATGGGGGGAAGATGATTAAAACATTTGATAGGAGATAGGCATGTTGGAACACAATTTTTGGACAATATTTGAAACCTTGTTGAAATTCCCCTCTTTGAAAGGAAAAAGTTATCTGCCAGGAAAGACGTAGACAAAGAGCATAAATAATGTCATATTTTTTTTAAAGAACGAGTTTATGAAAGATGATCTACAAGATTCTGAGCCAAAACACCTTTGCTTCTAACTGCTTCTGAAAAAATATCCTTTTTAGTGTGGATTGCTTCTAGCGGTTTGAGGTAATTTGCTGAGAGCATTTGCCAGGTGCTCTTCCTGGCAGCCAGTAGTGAAGGAATTAAAGCCACCTCATTAAGCTTCCCCAAGGCCTGAGGTCCATTAAGAGAAACTGGCTGAAAGAGGTTGGTGGGAACTTGTAGGGATAAGGCCAACCTTTTCACTGTGAGTTTCCCAGTACTGTATGGGTCAGCAAATGTCTCAAAGTGGAAAGAAGATACTTGATAAGCTAGAAGGGGTTTGTTCCCTTAAGGGAGAAAGTGCTATTACTACAATCAGGGCAAAATATTTCCCATTGCTGTTAGAAGACATAATTATGAGCTGTAGTTCACAGATGGTCTGGGTCTAGAGGCAAGGAGCTTTTATTTACAATTTTTTATTTTACAGATCTTTTAGAGGGTGATGTTCTTTCCTTGTCTTGGAGAATTTTATGAAGAAAAACCCCAAAGATCTTCATAAGCTGGCCAGGGAACTTAGTCTCGACTTATCTAGTTCCTGTCAGCAGACCACAAGGGAACCTCGTGGTAGGGCACAGCCTTGGCTGTGTTGTTGGCAGTTAACAGAAAAAGGCATCTTTGTCCAAAGCTGTTCAGATGTAAAGGTGTAGAGAAGATACAGAGAATGATCCAGTTTGCCTTCTCTTGTCTGTATAATACCATAACAAGGCACAGAGGATCAGTTGTCCCTGAGTTGTTCTCCCAGTTGTGCCAGGTACTTGGAATAGTGTTTGATAGAATTACTTCCCATACACTTCCCTCATCATGAAGAAAGTAGGGCCAGGGCCCTTACCTTCCGTTTTAAGGTGCTTTCAAAACTCCATTATCTTCCAGAGTATCTTATCCACAGGTCCAGATGAATGGAGAATAGAATCATAGAATCACTTAGGTTGGTAAAGACCCTTAAGACCGTTGAGTACGATCATTAATCTAGCACTGCCAAGTCCACCATTAAACCATGTCCCTAAGCACCACATCTACGTGACTTGTAGATACGTCCACGGATGGTGACTTAACCACTTCCCTGGGTGGCCTGTTTCAGTGCTTGACAACCCTTTTTAGTGAAGAAATTCTTCCTGATATCCTATATAAACCTCCCCAGGCACAACTTGAGGCCATATCCTCTTGTCCTCAGGGATTTCCCTAAACATGAAATCATAGCTTTATAAAGTCAAAACTTCAGGAATTTCCTGTGAAGGTTTCTCTGGAGTGCTGGAACACCTGTAATTAAAAGCCACTCAGCACCCAGATGCTGGGAGAAGCCTTTTTTCTTCCTGCATGCTTTCAAAAAAACCCCTGTTGTTCCTCTCCAGTGAGGAAAGATCAGATCAGACAAAAACTGGGCATAGGATGAGTTTATGGCAAAGCCGTAGCCCTGCCCCTTCATTTGTTCTTTTTGCTTGCTGTTATGGTTGGTTCATACTCAGAATTATATTATCGTTCTGGGATAATTCAATAAAGACAGGGAGAGCTTTACATGACCAATGGGAAGAGATTACTTTTGACTAAAACAAGATACACATAACTAATGTATAAGAAATTAGATAAATTATTTTATGAGTAAGTCCATCACTCTTTACTCAAACTGTATGTGCAGGAACTATTCAAAGTGTGGAGCTATTTTTCAGGTTAATTCTCTTCTGTGAGCAAGTGGGCTGGCTCTGAAATTTATATTGCTAGACCTTTTTGCCAAAGGTAAAATGGTAAAAGTTTTTCAAGATTTAGGTCTCCCACCTCGACGTAAGGAGATTGATGAAGGCAGCTGATGTGAGTATAACACCACAAGGGGATGTATCAGTGAATGTTTCTCAGATGTTTTCAGTAGGTGAACTTCCTAGACTGAGGCTTATGTGAGACTGATGTGTCTGCAAGCAAAACCTCACAGGTATCGCTCGCTTAGTCTCTTCTGAGCACTGTGATAGTAACATCAATTAGAAGGAGTTAAAAGTATAGCAGAACATGCATGTAGAGATGGATTCAGAGCCACTGTGAGTCCTGCTGTTACTTTTTTTTGGCTTACCAGAAGGCAAAAAATAAAGAAAAGGAGCTAACCACAAGTGACCTAAAGTAAAATTTACCACAGCTGAGACTGTAAACCGCGATAAACTGGAAAAATAAGTTATCTCAGTCATCTAATTCTATCCTTTTCTAGATATTAGTAATATTATTCATACCATATTTCTTCAAAATATTTCTTTTTGAATCCACAATTCTCAGGAAAATTGAACTCATACTTAAAACATATCCATTCAGGAGACAGCAACTGTGTAAATGTATAGCTAGGTTTTTCTGTATATCTGTACCTACAGCTAAGAGTTCCACGATGCAGGTCTTTTTATTTAAGTGTGTGTATCTTACCTATAATTGTTTATTTTAAGCAAAGATTTAATATACACAGCTGCAGCCCAGATGACATGAAAAAATAGAATAAACATTAGAACATGGTTTTGTTAATTTTTAAAAACTGCTGAGACCATTCTTCTGGAGCTTCCTAGTTCTGCATTTATGCATAAAGGACTATTTTGAAATGGCACAACTGCTGCTTCCTTTGATAAGCTTAGGAGCATGTGTTTTCTTCATATCTGGATGATCTTGACATGTTTCTGCTGTGAAAACCCAGTTTTTGATAGGGAAATACATATACTTGCGCGTACTCCAATATACCTGATTGTATGTATACATAAAAACCCCTCCACTAAGCTTCTTTTTTTTTGCCTCAGCTACATTACTGTATTCCAGCATTTTAATGAAAGCTGACTTAGAATCTTAACTTTTTCAGCCTGCAATTGCCACGGACATGCCACTGATTGCTACTATGATGCCAATGTTGATCAGCGTCAAGAAAGCTTAAACACCCATGGGCATTATGAAGGTGGAGGAGTCTGCATTAACTGCCAGGTAAAAAGGTCATTTTACGTAAATGACATTTCGCTACTGAAGTGAGACTGTGTCCCCACCAATAGTGGTCGGCTGGAGGCTGACCAGTCTGGATATCCTTTGTATTCAAAGGAGAGCAAAATTATCTGAAAATAATTTATATTGTACGACATTGCTTCTTAATGTATAAAAGGCAAATAGAAATTGTATCTATGCTTAGTCCTGTGTGATTCAAATGAAGTCACAAAAAGCAACAATTAAATCAACTGTCAAAATTTCTCTTTCCTGTCATTATGCACTCTGCCATTTCCCTGTTTTACAGATAGAAGTAAAATCAACCAAATTTCCATCTCAGGCCAGATGGTTCCTTACTACAGCAAAACACAGAGGGCTCTCCCTCATCATCAGGAATAAATGAGGGCACAGGTTATAGCAAGAGAGAAGGTTATAGGCATTGAAAAAAGTACAGGATCGTAGAAGGGACCCCTGGAAGTCATCTGGGCAGGTCCTCAGATGCAAAGGCTAGATGCAAAGTTGTATCAGGTTGCACCAACAAACGTCCAATTGAGGTCTAAAAATTCCCAAGGGTAGAGTTCCAGGTAGTCTTTTACAGCACTTAATCACTCTCATTGTGAAGAGATTTTTTTTTTTCACTCTTCAGTAGGAATTTCCTCAACTGCAACTTGTGGCAGGTGGCTTTTGTCTTTTTGCCATGCATGTGTGAGAAGAGTTGGCTCTGTCTTTTATATAAACCCCTCTCAGGTAGCTGAAAACTGCCATTAGACACATGTGCCTACCTCAAACATCTCTTGTCCAAGGCAACCAAAGCCATTCCCTCAGTTTCTTCTTACGTGCCACATGCTCCAGCTCCTTAACTGTCTTAGCGGCTTGTCTTAGCGGACAAATGCAAATTTGAAGTCAGAAACTTTACACTGTATCTGTCATTAGTGAGTAATAGGTTCTTGGAAACTCATCCTGAGTAACTTTTATTCTACTCTGACTAATTATTATCAGGAAAGATAATGCAAGGCTTTGATTAACTTGAGATAATCTTGGATTTCTTTCTGTATTGAGTGGGTTTGAACCACCTGGCCTCCTGAGGTCCCTAACAACCTAAATTAATTATTGGTGCAGTGATCTCAGGGTTAACAGTCATACTTATTTGGAAGTCTGTCTTCCTTTGGTTGTCAAGTCGTCAGCAGTATGGTGACAAGCAGCTGACCAAAACATGATTCAGAGGGAGAATTATCATCAAGCCTATGTTCCTATGAAACCTATGTATCAAGATTTATGTATTACCATGCTGTGTATTTAAAAATATAGCTTTATTTAAGTGACATGAAAAAGGGAAATATCCAGTAAAATTTATGGGGTGTGTTTTTTATCTTATTGTCACAGTGTAATCAGATTTTGTCAAAAGACATTCAGAAGAGAGGATTGTTATTTTTACTAGCATGAGTAGAAGAAATGTTCTTTGTCCTCCAGCTGACATTTCTGTGCAGAACTTTGTTCATGCGGTCTGGTAAGATTTATCACGCTGATCCTTCCTGTCAGCTCTTTGTTCATGAAAGAACATTTCTCCTATATCCTATATTCCAGCATAGAAAGGAGCAAAATTATTCTAAATCTATGAGTCCTGGTTATATGACTGATATTAATTGTTTGTAACCTAATTTTGTGGAAGTTATGCTGGATTAAATGAGTTTACTATAAATCTATTTATAGCTTTTTTTTTTTCATTGATAAAGCACATAAACTTTAGTTCACTTTTCTGTTTGTGTTAGTAAAAAAGTGTTAGGAATGGATGCTTGAATGAAGAAGTAGAATTAAAATGTTGCATACAAAGATAGATTCAGTTTCTTTAGAGTCTCATAACAGGGGAGCTCTGGAAATTACATAGTCCAACCCCCTACTCACAGCAGTTCTAATTAGATCAGTTGCTCAGTGACTTCTTCAGTCTACCTTGAGCACCTCTAAGGATGGAGATGCCACAACCACTCCTGGCAACCTGTTTCAGTGTCTGACCACCTTCATGACAGAATTTTTTCCCGTAATACCAAACTGGAATTTTCCATGTTCCAATCCATGCCTGTTACCTCTCATCCTGTTGATGTGCACCTCTGAGAAGAGTCTGGCTCCATCCCCTCTCTATCCTCTGATCAAATAGTTATAGATAGCAGTAAGTTCTCCCTTCTCAATGCTGTCCCAGAGCCTCTTCTTGGATGCCTTGTGCTTCAGTTTCTCAACATCTTGTTGGCCCTGCCCACCCCTTATCCACAGCACCAGTCATAGAATCATAGAAGCATAGAATGGCATAGGCTGGAAGGGACCTTAGAGATCATCTAGTCCAACCTCCCTGTTTTGGGCAGGAACGCCACCTCTCGACTAGACCTGGCAACACATGGGGACATCTCATCACAGAGATAATAGGCTGACTGGGCATACTTTGCCCTTGGTAAATTTATGTTGAATACATCCAATCACCTTCTTGTCCTTCATGTGTTCTAAGATGATTTGTGCACTGGATCTCCTTCCCCACTGAGCAATGGGTCTCTAGTCCCATTAGCTTTTCTTTTGCTGCTGACATACTCCTAGAAATCTGTCTTTTTACACTTCACCTCCCTTGTTAGTTTTAATTCCAGCCAAGCTTTAGCTTTCCTAATTCCACTCCTACATGTGTGGGCGGTGTCTCTGCTCCCACCTTCTGTGTACTTTCTTTTGGGGTTTGAGATCAATCAGGAGCTCTGTATTTGTCTGTGCTGGCCTTTTGCCATACTTGCCTGACTTTCTGCGCATTAGAAAGAACTGTTTCTGTTCTAAGGACATAGTCCATGAGGACCAACTAGCTCTTCTGGTCCCCTTTCTCCTCCAGGGCAGTTTCACACAGGATCTTGCCAAACAGTTATCTGAACAAGACAAAATCTGCTTTTCTGAAGCCCAGAGCTGTAATTCTGCCATTTATCTTGCTTACTTGTCTCAGAATCTTAAAATCCACAGCCTTGAGGTCACTGCAGCCAAGGCTGCCCTCAGCCTTCACCTGTTCTTCCTTGTTAGTAGGTGTCAGTTTGCACAGAGCATCTCTTCTAAATGCTTTGTGAACCTCTACATCCAGAAATTGTCTTCAACTCGTTCAGAATAACTTCTGGATTGCTTGCACTCAGCTGTGTTGCCCTTCTGGCAGATACTGTGGTGGTTAAAGTCATTCACAAGTACCAAATCTTTCTCTAGTTCCCTAAAGAAGGCTTCATTTGCTTTCTTGTTCAGATGGTCTGTAGCAGACACCTACTGCAGCGTCAGCTGTGCTGGTCTGTCCTTTGATCCTTACCCTCGAGCTCTACACAGGTTCATCACCTGCTCAAAGCCCTGGGGAGAGGCCCAGGCATGCTCTACAGCCCCAGACCTGGGCAGTGGCATCTACCTCCTGGAGCTCTTCTTTGGGGTGGGGCCTCTGATGTGCCACAGGAGTCAGCACCAGTAGTCCGGAAAGAATGTGCCCTGCAGTGTGTACAGACCATTGCTGCATGGTCTGCAGGTAGCCCTGCAAAGTCCTGAGCAAAGATCCTGCAACAACTTCTGTGTCTCCACCTGTTGTGCCATGGGAGCATCACCCTCCCTGATTTGGCATCAGCCTTTCCCAATGGTAGTTTGGTTCTGAAGATGCTGGAGGAGGCTTCTGGCAGAGCTGGGAGCGGAACCTGAAACTGCTGTGCTAACTGAGAGTGTCAACGCCGAGCAGGAGCTCCAGCAGCCTCCTAGGTATCCTGCTCATGTACTGCCCCACCAGGACCTCCATCAAATTCTGGGTCCCTGCACAGCCCTGAATTGCAGCACCCCCTAAAGAGGAACTAAACCGTGAGTGGGAGCTGGAGAACGCTGCCTTGGTTGCTCCAGGGCAAAGCTTCCCCCTCTGGTTCCCTGCTCACAAGACAAGGAGCTTGTCAGGATGCCTCGTGACCATGATCTGCTCAGCTGGTGCATCCATTGCTGCTCCTCCTGCTGCCTCACCACAGGGGAGAGCTTTGTTTCATAGGTTGAAATACACTCAGGACTGTGTTCACAGGGCGGTTATGTATTTTTGCTGTAGTTCAAATTACTATGTTTTTATTGTGTGCCTGAAAACACATGTTTACAGAGATACATACTTTTATACTGGAAGATCTGCTTTGTGCTGACCTGACTGATCACATTTTTGTTTATTTTGGTGTTGCTGATCTTAGGCATAGGGTATTAAAAAAGTACTATATAGCATGAGGAAGTATTTGTGATGCAGTTCCCTGAATGTGATATCTACATCATGAGAAGAAAGTAGCATTAAAAAGTGTGATAGGGAAAAGGGATTTTTTTCCCCTAGGTTTTTTTTTTATAATACTTTTAATGTAAAATTCAGCTGCTCTATGTGAGAATACCGTGATTTAGAAATCTGTAAAGAACAGGTGGTTAAAGAACACCAGATGATGAACATTGTCTTTACTGGGATTGTATTCCATTTTTTCCTGTCCTTTCTTAGTTGTATGTAGAAACAGGTAAAGGATGTTATTGTTTCTTAATTCTTCCAAGTTCCTTTTTTAATCTCATATTCTCTTTTTGTTGTTTTTTTTTCTCTCCATAGCATAACACAGCTGGTATTAACTGCGAGAGGTGTGCAAAAGGTTACTATCGTCCTTACCGTGTTCCAGTGGAAGCTCCTGATGGTTGTATACGTGAGTCCTTCTCTATTAAGTATCTTCTCATGTGGTGGCTTGGGAGTTTTTTTAGCTGTAATCAAGGCAGGAGATGCAACTTCTGGGGAGGAAAACTGAAAGAGTGGCCAAAATATGTTGGAGAACAATTGCAAATGACTTTCTGTGTTGCTTTAGACTCTATAAATGATATTCTTCTCAGCTTATGTGTCATATGAGCCTAAAGCTTCAGACCAGCAGCAGGACAATAGGTGGAAGTAAGCCAGAAAATTCATTGAGAAGATAGGATCACGCAAGCCTGGAGTGCTGCTACACACCCCACGGTGAGGTGGCATGACCTCTAGGAAGCCACCCTCAGGAACTCGCCTCTTCTAGCTCTGTGATGTACATGTGAGGTGTCCTTTGGCTCTTAGTCACTTGAAAGTTACATTTTGTAGCTCAAAAGGTCACTAATCCTATTTTATGCAGTGCTGAACCTAACAACTAGTAAATGCTGCAGTAGGATAATTGCTATTTAACACAGAACGGAGTATAGGTAAGAGACAACAAGCGTTGAATTACAAACAGGCTGAAGGAGCTTTGTGACAGGTAGGAGGAAGCTACAGTTTGTAATGTTTGAGTATTGAAATGAACGAGAACTCACCAGAGCTGTGGTGTGCTGCCATAACACTGCACGTGGTACATGAGGAAAGGTGGATGGAGTGTGATGCTTTGCCTAGACCATATAGAGAGACAAGTGGATGCCACAAAAAAGATAATTGCTGCAGTGTTGAGGAGTAATAATATGCAGCTTTCTGAATTAAAAACAGCTAAACATTCTAAGAAGATAACATAGATCCACTTCTAAGGGATATCACAAAGATTAATGGATGATATAAAGTACTTGGAAAATATGTAACAGCACACCAGGGTTAGCCTCTTAAAAATGAGCCTCTTAAAATGAGGCATTTGCGACAGCAAATTTACTATTAAAATGCCGTTGTGCACTGCTGTAAAAGACAAATGAATTATTTTCTGAAGAGTGCCTAATTGCTGATACTTACTTAGCCTGCAGCTGTAACTTGGAGCGTGCAGAGGGCTGTGAGGAAGGGTCTGGCCGCTGCTTCTGTAAGCAGAATTTCCAGGGAGAAAACTGTGAACGCTGTGCTGATGGATTCTATGGTTATCCATTTTGTGTCCGTAAGTATAAAAACAAAAAAGCCCCTTTCCCCATATTTTAAATATGCTTTAAAGAATTAACAGTTTTCATTAAACTTGATTTGGTTAAAACATCTGGCATTTCAGCTTCACATGTTTACATGGTGTGATAAATCACTTGTCATAATACTGAAGAGAGTCTGGTTTATTTTACAAAATGTTGCTTACTTGAAAATCAAATTGTGCTGCATTCTTAAAATTCTGAGTTCATTTAAGACATCTTTAACAAGGCTGCAGCCTATCATCTCTTGGTTAGTCATGAACTACAGTCGTAAAGCCTTGGACAAATTGCTCAGAGTCTTTAGGTATGAAGATTACTTGGGCTGGGAAGCATAACATACCTGTAGTGAGAAAGATGGAAGAAAATTGCTATGTCTTCTCCTTGACACCTCCCAGGATTTGGGACTTACATCCCTGAGTAAACAAAGCTTGTGGGTTTTGGGAGGATTCTAAAACAAATAAAACTAATTCTCAAATAGTGCCTGCACAATGTTGGAAAGACTCTCCTGGCAGAGCATAAGGCTCTCAGCCATACTTTCTTATTTTTGCTGTGGGTAGATATGTGGTTGAAAGAAGGAGTCACATTCCTTCAACCACTTCTTAAAAAATCTGAAACAATCTGGAATCCAAGGAAAATAAACATACTAGACAAAACAATGTGACACAGAACTGTTGAGTGCTTCCATTTGTTGAAAATGGTAATAGAATGCTATCTGACGCTATTGATTAATTGAAAATTAAATTTTTACTTCAAAGAAGAAAGTTAACATTACGTATCAGGAATTAAGAAAATGAAACATTTTCCACATAAACAGATGATATATAAAATAACTGAGGAGAAAAGGATTGCGTTTGCTGTGTAAAAGCTGGTGACCCCATGAACAGATTTTTAAAAATCATCGGTGGGTTGATTGTTTTGTGCCCTCAGGAGAAACATGTTTCTGACAACTGATAAAACAGGTTTTGTTCTGGGAAGGACTTTAGGTCTGACTAAAAAGAGGTACAATGACAAAGGTGGAGGAAGAGGGAAATCAATACAAAACAAAGGAAGAAAACAGTATTAAAAATGGAATATTGTTTGAATTCAAAGGCTGTGTTATAATAAATCCTCTCTGTACAGTGCCTTCTAGATTATCACATCTCATGTATCCTCTTTTGGTAATCCAACATTTTTAAGTAAGTTCAGTTCAGGCAGACCTTGATCCAAGTCCCACTGATATTTGTAGCTCATCAACTTTGGATCTGATCTTAAGGGAGTAATGTATGTTGCGATATCTTTCACGTTCCTAATCTGGAGGATTCTCAGATAAAAAGCTCCCAAGATGCACTGTACATGTCATGGATTCTGGCAGGTCAGGTAGCAAGTGATAGCACCACATGGCAGGAGGTAGACTTTCAGCTGGAAGCAGAAAACGTGAAACAAATGTGGAGCTCCTTAGATAGCTCTCATAATGCTGTTTAGCGTAAGAAAACTTTCTGCACAAAAGGGTAGGGAGCTGGGAAGCAACCTGGTAGCATTGCCAGATGGTGTCTGGCCTTTCATACTGTTCTTTTGAGAAGGGATGTTTGTACCTGAATTGGAAATCAAAATTAAAATGTCTCCTGTCCTGTTCCTAACTGAAAGAAAACTCGGCTGAAGTTACTAGAGTCACGTGAGTGTCATGCTCTCTATATTGACAGGAGATGACTTCATTGTTTGTCATGATTCTTAATGAAATGAATTTGTCTGTTTAAAATACATCTCATTGTTTCTTTTGTTTTAAAGATATTCCTGTATATCCTTTTACTTCTGCAAATCCAAGAGATGCTATGGCTGGTGACTTAACAGGCAAGTTCTTGGTGTGTTTTTCCCCCCATTTCACTGTTTTCCCCATGTCGCTGTTTTTCACTGTTTTCCCCATGTCGCTGTTTTTCACTGTTTTCAGTGGTGTCAGCTTTTTCATGGAGATTTATGTAGTAATTTTGCCACTGTTGGTATTTCTCTTTCCAAGCGCCTTTGTTCTTGCCAGAATTTCATCTTACTCTCATGTTCATATTGAACAGTTTAGTGAGCTGTTTCCAGAAAGAGTTATGGATCAGAATAAGTTTGACCAGCCTCCGGCAAACATCTGCAGAAGAGGCTGACCATCTTGTCTGGTGCCCTTATGAGCAGATCCATCAAGACTTTCTGACATGTACAACTTGTCAGCTGCTTTGCGCTGTAAATCTCTTTCTTAAGACTAACTGGCCTCTGCTTCTGGACTGTCCTCTTGCACCTGGCAAATTGTACATTGCCCTTGGCAGTGAAGGACTTGATTTCTAAGAGAGCTACATACTTCTCATTCATTGCAGCCGACTGCAAAGCTGCCTGAAATCCTTACAATGATTCCCTCAGTGGATTTATCGTTTTTAGTGTTTATCGTTATACTACAGGATGGACACATACAGCTAGTGCTTAATCACGTACATACTTGTAACATGCTTCAGGATTAATAACTTTTAAAAGCCTCAAAACCTTTTTCATATCCTAAAATCAACATTCTTCCACTTTATTTCTATGAGCTTTAATAGAACTGGAGTTTATGTTGGCAAATGAAAAAGTGTTTTGTGAATGTAGCAGACACTTAGATATAAGCAGTGTGAATCCATGTATGTATTTACAAGTTCCAATTGTTTTCTTGGGAGTGTCTGCAGTTGCCATCGCAGCCCACAAAGCCGCAGTCTCCTGTACCACTTCTCTCCTTCATACAGCATCCAAAATAATTGCCATGGTCAGCCTCTCCATATGCTCTGTTGCATATCCCCTTCTGTCACATATTCTTAAGAGGAAGAAAAAAGAAAACTCAGAAGAAAAGTGAATACATATAAACAGGAGAAAACAGATCTTCAGCTGTTTACATTTTCAATGAGTAGCATCTGAGTCAGAAGGCATAAGAAAGGTAGCTGCCTTTAAGTAGAATCTTCTGCCTTTAAGTGGAATCTCCTGTGTCTGTAGTTGTAAATTTGTGCTGGCAGACTAAGCATAGTTACAGGTTATTTTTTTTTAACTGAGATTTTCATGTAAGGGTCATACAAATAGTTTTGTCAGTTCAGGGTTGCTGACCACTGCTCAGTTTTTTCTCTGCAAAAATATGAGGAGTTGCGTGATTTTTGTGCACTAACTTTGTTCCTTTCTTTCTTTTCCTTTCTGTTGTAACTAGAAGGTGGCTGCGAACCAGGATATTTTGGCCCCCGGTGCCTGCGTAAGTGGCGTAGTTTCTTTGACACTTGGAGCCTGTGCTCCTGTGTAAATGCCAGTGTTCAGCTTCCAAGTGAAATAGGAACTTTAAGATCGTAAATGTTTTCTTTACAAATGTGCTTTTCAGCCTGCCAGTGCCACGGTGCAGGAGTGCTGGGCGGTGACTGCGATGGAAATACCGGACAGTGCAGATGTCAAACCGGATTTTGGGGTTTTTTCTGTGACACCTGTGCCACTGGGTATTTTAATTACCCCTTCTGCCAGGGTAAGACAAACATTCCCCTTCGGCAAGTGTACCCAAAGTACAGACCCAAGTTTGATACTGAAGGCTGAAGGTTTTTTGCCATGGAGATGTGTTCGTAAGGGACTTTCCCAGGACTCATGAAAGTCAAAGAAGAAAAATGTGATGAGAGAGGGATTCCTATCTAAAAATGACCCTATTTCCTTGATTACTGTCTACTGTGTGATGCCACTGCCACTCTCCACTTTGGGGCTGGATATAGTAACAATGATGAAGTTTAGCATACCAGTGGGAACATTTCTGTTACTTATCCTTGTTTTTAAAAAAATTAAATAAAATTGAGTTTGAGTTTGCAACCTCACTTTGATGCATCAAGCTGCCCTTTCTAATTGTTACTGGAAAACTGACATTTTAAACTTTATTAACCACCTCTGAACTATCTTTTTAGGTGTTTTATTAACCGCTCCCACCTGAGCTTGTAAATCCAAACCATCAACTGTTTCATATTAGTCTTAAAAAGATGGAATTACTTTCAGTAGTTCTCATACCATATGGGATTCATAAATCAGACTCTCAGTGGGGACAGGCCGAGTGTAGTCCTTCAACACTCTTGTCAAATCCAATAGTTATTTTGAGCCAGGTTCTTTGGCTCTTTCATTAATATGTCCTTGATGCTGAGTTAATACTGACGTAGACAATCAGTAAAAGCTGTTACGAATCAGAATAAATCTGATGGGGAGATTTTAGTCCTACCGAGCGTCAGAAAGTTGCTTTTTTTTCATTTAAAGAAAGGAAAAAGAGGAGAGCTTATGCAGAGGCTGCCTCTGAAATGCCTTTTCTCATTTGCAGCATGCGAATGTCACTTGGCGGGTACCCATCCCGAAGTCTGCAATTTTCTTGGGAAGTGTCTTTGTCGCGCCGGGGTGGCGGGACTTCAGTGTGACAGCTGTCAGCCTGGCCGTCACTCATTCCCTGCCTGTCAAGGTAAGGCTGCCGATCGCACACCAGCATCAAACAGCCCCCACCGTGAGCAGGCAGACTGGAGTGTTTTTCGGATACCATTTTTTGCTGTGGCTGAAACAATGTTCAAGGAGTAAATGCACAAGGGCCTCGTGTTTTCTACAGTGAAATCCTCATACGTTCTCATTCTCCAAGCACTAATTCCAGGCATGTTTCTATAGTAAGGAATAATTGTATACAGTTTGTTTTCTCACAGGCTTTTTTTTTTGCACGGTCAACACACCTGTCTTACTGATAACTGAGGAATATATTTTTCACGTGGAAGCCTACAGCAACAGAGCGTGCTTGACTGCTAAGGAGCTGGCATAGCGGAGCTGTTAATATAGCGGAGCATTAATCTGCTCTAGCAGAGGGTCTTTGTAAAATGTGTGTTCTGTCAATCTGAGAATGCAAAGCTCCCATTTTGCCCTTCACAGTGATTTCTTACTCATTTTTAGATCATACGACAGGCACAAAGCCAATCTCTGTTTATGTAATCATCACACATGAATGACTTCCACAGGGTTTCACCGGAGTACCTGAGCTGCCACCGAGGTCTAGCCTGCCTTGTACAAGAGAGGAAGGTTGATCAGCCCTGATGAAGTGTAACCTTAAATATCACAATAGATTTATATGTGTGTGAGGAATCCACCAAGTCCTACCTGGCTCCTAGGTTTTGTCTGCCTTTGCAGTGAGAGAGACCCTTACTCCTTAGTGAATTTTACAGTGAGAAAGAATATAGGATATTGCTGCATCCTGTACTTTCCTGTACAGCTTACAAGCTTTGTATAAAACATTATGCTTTACTTCTCTTTCGTTATTTTTGGTTGTTGGCTATAGCAGTCCTCTTCCTGTTAGGCTTATGTACTTGTTTATGTCCTATGAATAGATAGCAGAGTCCTTTATGCTCTTGAAAAGAATATGTTATGTTGTGTTACCAAGCACAGTGGGTGGAATAAAGAAATACCACATGACTGTATTTTGTGGTCTGGAGTAGATTAACATTGTTTAATGAAAAACATAAAATCAGGATTCTGTGTTGGTACATGCTGTTCAGTGGTTTTAAAATACTCTAACTTTGGGGTTTTTTTCTTAGAACAGAATCAGGTAGCAATCTTAAAGCACATTAAACCCATATTGAACACATTTGAACTTCTAACACTGAAAGATGAAACGAGACGTAAAATCTTAAATGAACATGCAAAAAAATACAAAAGATGGATAAAAATACTTGAAAACACGGTTAGTGGGATTACACAAAACTGCTGCATTTCACAGGATTTTCTGTTAAAATAAGCTGCCATAGGTTTAAACTTAAACTAATGCAGCATACTGCAAACTGTGTTGGAAAGTGAGCAGCCCAGCCCGCTATTCCTCTCTGGAGTTTTCATCTTCAGCAGGGAGGTAGATCTATAACTTCCTGGCTGCTGCAGCTAGAACTGATCTCTCTGATCTTGCTTTGTTGGACTCAATATAAGCTTTATTCAATAGGAGTGATATGAAAATAAAGCCTTTAAACAAATCAGTGTTATTAAAATGAGGAGAGAACGCAATATAATGTTCATCTGGGCATGGCCTCTGGTGCTGGTAATGGTTTTGGAAGCTTCAGTGTTTGTATTCCTCTTATACTAACTTCCTAGCAAACCTTGCATCTTTCCAAGCGTCTTTGAAGTAAACACAGCAAAGTCAGATGTCCTTGGCTGCAGCAGAAAGAGGAACCGAAAGGGGGAACCAGGAACATGGACATGGAACAGAAAGACAGTGTTTGTTTTGTATTTCTGTCAGTCATAATATGTAAGCGATTAACTGCAACACTTTGGCAGCCGGGCTTCCCTTCATGTACCTGTGAAGTGTGACACTGTGTAATGCCCAGCATTGTCTCAATAGAACAGCATGTCTTGTCTGTGATAGAGCTGTTAGCCTAAGAAAAAGTGGCTACTTCAACAGAAGTTTGTTGTTACAGTCTGAGGATAGGTTGGTTTTTACAGTCTGACAGCACGCCTTGTGTATTACATGCAGATTCCTGCAACGCACTGCTTGCCAGCTTGCAGAATTAAGGTGTCAGAGGTTTTTACCTTGTGCATCATTTATTTGTGCATCGTGAACATGTGCGTGTACATCATTACTAGTGATCTTCTTGTTAGCCATTAGACCTAGCCTGGCGTTGTGTATGGTGTTTCTCAGAGGTTGTTTTTTGAAGACATTAAGTACTTTTCTGCTGTGAAGCTCTTCCCATTGCAAGATGGCTTTATGTCCCTTATACGTGTGTTTTGCCAGGCATCAAGATAAATCTCTAAACTCAACATTACAGAATTGCACTAAGAACCTGCTTATCAATGATTGAGGAGGCAATTACAGTATAAGCATCTGTTTCAGGATATTTATTTTTGGTGGTAAAATTATGGTTCATTTGGTTTCCTCATGATTGCATTACATTCAAAGTTAACTTTTTTTTGGGAAAATCTGGTTTAAATAACTGCTGGTTTAGACGTGTATCTATCAGGATGGGTTTTTTTTCTCTTTGTGCAGAATGTAACTGTCATGCTGTTGGCTCAGTGGGGAATACATGTGATCATAGAGGTCAGTGCCTGTGCCATAGTAACTACGTTGGACTTAGATGTGACCGGTGTGCTCCAGGTTATTACAGCTATCCCAGTTGCTTGCGTAAGTAAAACCCTCTCCTTTTACTGGGGTTTCCCTTCTTATTTCTGCAATACAGAAGAAAATAAATTTTCTCAAATGTATTTCCATGTAAAACTATGGATGTAGCCATGAGAGTTTTGTTTCATCCAAAGATAGCAACAGTAACGCTGAAGATCCAGGCAGTGGCCAGGCTTCCTGACCCATCGTTGCTGTTCCTGTGCTAGTGTGGTTCATGTGAGCATGGCAATGTTTGGCCTTGGTGCAGTTGTATCTCTCTTTTAAAATATGAAATCTAAAGCTTAGGCAATGAGTATTTACCTTTATGAGTTCTGGCTCACTCAGCTTACAGAATGTAAGCTGTTTTTCAACTGGCTTGGGCTTTTGATACACTGTCCTGTAAACTTTTAAGTACATTAGTGTGTGCCCTTGACATGTGCCAACTTTGCACCATAAATCCTAGCTAGAAGTCCTTGGCTCTGCAAATCTTCTATCACATCAGCAAGTTTTCCTGCCCATGTGCATCAGTTGATCAGGCCCAGAATGTTGTGTGTATGTTTTTCACATACGGGAAACCTGCAGGCTCTGTCGTTAAAATCAGTAAGCTACTTGATCATCGTGAACAGGATTGCTCTTTCCTAGAAGTAAAAAGCTTTTTAGTGCTAAAGAAGGAATGTATCCTCAGAATTCTCCTATTGCTAATCACCACAACCACAGCAAAAAGTAATGTGACAGGTTTGTTCTCTCTCTTTAGAAGTCTGGCTACTACTTTACTTAAAATAATCATTTCACCCCTAGACTCTCTCTGAGCAAGGATTAGTTCCCTAGGCTGTAGCAGAATTGTTCTCTTTTGTGGCATTATTCTTATTTACCATGTGTGTAACTCATTGCACAATCCGAAACACTAAGACATGGTGTATTTCAAAGCTTGCTTCTGCCCTCTTCTGCCTTCAGATCTAAAGATGTGATGGACATATAATTTTACATATATGTATGTATATATTTTGCCAATATATTTTAAAGTGCAGGTCTAATTACACAATTTGCTCTGTGCTTTCTGTAACCATAAGTAAATCAAGAAAGCAGAAAGCCAAAACCAAACCTGCACTTAGGATGAGACAAAAAAGTAGAGGAAGAGAGATTTATTACAGTTCCAGATAATTCTATCTGTTTCTGTCAAGAACAGAGGAAGAAAACAGTGTCAAGATGGTACCAGTCACCCCAAACCCGTCGATTCCAAGCAGGGGTGAGGACCTTATGAATTACCAGAGGACCTTGGGAGCTATGTATTGGAAAAACAAAGGAAGAACACTCTAGACAGATAGCGTTCAAAACCTCTGAAGTATTGAAGTTTTGTAAAGTTGTTGCTTGGTACCTAGAGCGTGACCCCTGCCACTGCTGTCTGTGTTTATCGTTGTGCAGCTTGTGAATGCTCTCCCGAGGGCTCCCGGCACAGCACCTGTGAGCCCCTGTCCGGGCAATGCGAGTGTCAAACGGGCGTCACAGGGCGACAGTGTGACAGATGCTTTTCTGCAGCTGACACCTTCCCCTCCTGCAAAGGTAACGCTTCTGAGGAAAAATCCTCCCTTCTGATGCATATCGCCCCTATTTGGTTTTTTTTTTCCAGCGTTCTCTGGGGCAGGCTGCTGCGTGCAAAGTTTTATAGAACCCTCCTGAAATGTGGAGAGGGAGGGAAGGAACACACCAGGATCACATATTAGATAAGCTTGTTTGTCATTCTGTGTGTTATTTCAAGAAGTGAACTGTAAGATTAAAACTTTGGTTTAGACGATGGCACAGGAACTTTAAGAGAACATCTCTCAGTTGTGTAGGTTAGTGCTATATTTTTCTGAGTGACTGCTTTGCATACCAAATCAAGTAGTGCAAACCAGGCTAAACACACATTTGAAAAATCATTATTAAAGGCTTCTGCTGGTCTTTAAAGAATTTGAATCCCTCCACAGTAACATATTAAAAAGCCCTTTCAAACTCACACCCGCTATGTTGTATTTCTGCACTACTACATTCCACAGCTCTGTTTTCAAAAGATCTTTCACTGTGTTTGTTTTTTTAATTTCATAAAGGTGTCAACAGTGAATGTGACCCTTCAGGTAGCGTTGTTTCTCATTCCGTAAGTATTCTACCACTGCAGCCAGCAGTACATGACAATGATTCACGTGCCTTTGCTGAACACATTTATTTTTTTGCTCAAGATCTGAAGCCTGCTCTTAGACTATGAAAGAATTGTGTGAGCTTGCTTGCAGAGGAAGAGTTGAAATAAGCTTCGTGGTTTTTTCTTCGATCATACCAGTGCAATTAGCTGTTGAGGATGTTTTTTTTTCTCTTTTAAATGTAGAATATGCGTACTGTTTATGTCTTCTTGGTATGCTAGAACACTTAAATATACATGTGGATATGCATAGAAACCTATGCATGTCTCTAAGACCTTCTGCTTCTGGGTTGCAACAGGTTGTTTCAGCATCAAATTATTCTTGAAAAAATTAATATCTCTTTGTAATCGTTGCTATTCCACTTCTATTGTTATAATACAGTGATGGTTATTACTAGTAGCATATTACCAGAAATCACTGTCATTGCTAAATGTGTGGCAAAGAAGACCTCAAGGGTAAGTCTGAGTGCTGGAAGAGGTATCTGTGTAGGCTTATGTATACAGCTGTGTCTGTCTTCCACCAATAGAGGAAGGAATAGATATGAAAATAAATGATTATTTTAAAGGAAAATTATTTTTTAAACTTTTTTGAAGAGCAGCTAATACTTTAGAGCAGTTCTAATAAGGCTATAAAAGAATTGGAAAGTATATCTCTTGGGACATTTAGAATAAATTAGATATAGAAAAAATACCCAGTGTGGAACAATCCTGTGTGAATAGCGTGAGACAAAAATATCTAAGCAGTCTCAATTAGCCTTAGTTTCCATGCATCTGTAAAATTCAGTAAACTGCCTGAGCTCTTAATAAGATTAGTTTTTTCTTATTTCTAAAGAGCAGTATGATTTTTATGAAACAGATGAACCCTTTCCATGAAACAGATGAATGCATTAACTCCTTTTTGTCATTAGGGTTATTGTCAATGTCTTCAGCACGTTGAAGGTCCTGCCTGTAGTAAATGCAAACCGTTGTACTGGAACCTGGCCAGAGAAAACCCTGAGGGATGTACAGGTTCGACTTCATGACATACTTCTTTGGCTTACGGGATGTGTTAAATTCTTTTGAAAGTCGTCTTTATTCACTGTCGCCATCTCTGGTGCTCAGTGACTTTCATAGCTCTTGTTAACAGTATGTTTTTCATGCTACTTAACTGTAACACCAAATTACCCCTGATACCAGCAGTTTTTTAGGAATTAGACCATAATTTCAGGAGTGTTTGCTAGTGCTGGACCAGGGTGTGACCTGAGTTGTAATGATGTATACTTCAAATAGCCCTGTGGCTGTTTTATTGGAGTGAGACAGGATTTCTGCCCTTAACATTGAAACCAGAATTTGGCTAATTGTTTTGAGAAGAAGGTACTTTTTAATGTATTACCATCTCCTAGCTTGTAGAGGAGTGAAAAGCCTTCTTTTGGCTTCAGGGTGTGACAAATCCGTTACGGTTTATGTCTATATAATGCTGATCTGTTTGCAAATTTCAATATTTGCTAAGAGCGAGTGTGTATTTTTCAGGCAGATAATAATTTTAAAGATTAAAAAGGATAAAGATAAAATTCTTTAAAGATTTTTTCTCCCCAGCTATTTCCTTTCCAGCTGTTCCACTGCAACAGCCACCTAGATAGGATGAGTAGCCTTAGAGCCAATACCACTGTCATTACATCTTTGACTCTAAATCTCTAAATATTGTATGATCTAATCATCTCCTCCAAGATTAATTACTGCACCTTTCGTGTAATTCATCTGCTTTGCTTTCAGCCACAGAGTCAACACGGGGTTTCACCAAACCTCTAGTTCAGCATAGCAACTTCTTGCAATATTTTTTTAATTTATATTTCCTACGGAGAGTTGAACTGGTCCCAGACCAGCACTGCAGAATAGAAGGTGCCAGTCTGGCTGGAAGGCACTGTTTCACATCAATTGTCGGCATGTTTCTAAGAAACAAGACACCTGTAAAACCAAATGCAAGACTGTTTTTGTTAAACACAATTTAGAACACTTCAAAACACACATACACAGAAGTCCTCGTTCTTTCTCTTTTGCTTTTTCTTCTCACCTTGTGCCAGTATCTGTCTGCTGTTCTGAACCTCCCAGAGTAAAATCTATATTGGGGCACTATGACTCAGAATTGCAGATTCAGGGTGGTGGGCTTTTTTTTCCTGCAAAGAATCTTGGAAACGTGAAATGCAGATTGTCTATTTTTCATCTGTGCAGCATGCCAGTGTGATGTAAATGGAACACTAAGTGGAGTTGCAGAATGTCAACAGGTAAAGTGAAATTAAAAGAAATACATTAATTAAATTGATTTTTGTAAAGATAACTAACTTGTAGCATTTGATAAGGTAAAAGTCTTAGTAGTGATTATTGCTTTTGCATATAAAGTGGCTGGTCTTATACAGCAAAGAAGCAGTTTTATAGAGAAATTTAAAAAATTTTTCTTAATTTTATCTGATTTTTAATCTGTTCTTGAATATGATAAATGACAGAAGTTATGTCCAGATAATACTTTTTGATGAGATTATAACCTTTTTCCATTTTAGAATTAGAGGAAATTCGAAGGATTGAAAGATTAAGGTTCTGAAAAAGGTGCTGAAACATTTTGATGAAATTGTTTTCTTTACAGGAAAATGGGCATTGTTACTGCAAATCTAATGTTTGTGGAGATTCCTGCGACACTTGTGAAGGTGGTTATTATGCTCTTGAAAGCAAGAATTATTTTGGCTGCCAAGGTAAAATGCATAGAGGACATGTGTCCATTTCTGGGCCCCTCAGCTCAAGAGAGACAGGGAACTGCTTGAGAGA